ACGAGGCGATCAGCTCCATATTTCGGCGCCGAGCGTGACCTGTTCTGCATTGACCAGCGCGCGTGAGAGCAGCAGCTTATGGTTCTCTTTGTGTATGTCCGTGTGTATTATATTTTCTTACCTCATGTTTATTCGTGTACGTGTGAGTGAATGTGTATACATGTATCTGCGTGGACGTGTCTGTGTGAATGTATGCGTGTTTTTGTTTTTTGTTTTCTGCGGGTGTGCGTGCGCGTGTTAGTAATATATACAGTTAAGATTCACGCAATTTCACGCAATCGCTGTGAACACCGCCATTGCATGCAGTCTTGCAAAACATCGCGAGAATTAACCTTCCGCTTTTAGAAGTCACAAAAAAAGAAAAAAAAATCCTAGGACACGCCCCTACTAAACCGTGTCCTTGCATAATCATCATCCTCTCTTTTTTTCTTGTTTCCTTTTTCGTATTTCTTTATTCCTATTCTTCTTCCGGTGTCTCAGCCTTGACCTCCCGACACAACAGGTCATTCCGAGGGTCACGAATTTAACCTCTTCCGATTGTTTTGTTGGGACGTTGTGTGCGAAGCTAGGGGGGGGGAGCTGGATGTGGGAATCTTTAGGAAGAGAGAAAATGGAAACTGAATGTTTGAAATACAGAATATGGGAATTTTTTTGATTGAAATAGAGAAAATGGGAATTTTTTTGGTTGGAATACAGAAAATGGGAAATTGAATGGTTGAAATACAGAAAATGGGAAATTGAATGGTTGAAATACAGAAAATGGGAATTTTTGGTTGAAATAGAGAAAATGGGAAATTTTTTGGTTGAAATACAGAAAATGGGAAACTGAATGGTTGAAATACAGAAAATGGGAAATTGAATGGTTGAAATAGAGAAAATTGGGAATTTTATGGTTGAATTACAAAACTTAATGAGACGAAGGGTTGAATTACAGAAAATGGGAAACTTAACGAGACGAAGGGCTGAATTACAGAAAATGGGAAATTGTAAAGGACGAGGGGATGAATTGGAGAAAAGCGTTGAGATAGAAAAAATGGGAAACTGAATGGTATGAATGAATGAATCACAGAAAATGGGATACTGAGATTGACGAATGGTTGAATTAGAGAACATGGAAGAGGAGTGGAAGGAAAAAGAAAAGCTGAAAAGGAATGGAATATAATGGATAAATGAAGCAAAGGAGAATGGAAAAGGAACTTAATAAAATGCATGAATAAGATAAAGAAAAACGGAAAATTGTAATGGAGAAAAATGGAAAAGGACTTGAATAAGATGAATTATCAAGACAAAGAAGAGATGTAAAATGAAGAGAGTAGAAGAAAAAGAAAAAAAGAAAATTGACAGAAAGACAACCAGTCAGACAGACACAGAAAAGCAGTCAGACAGAAAGACAATCAGACGATCAGTAGAGAGTAGAGGAAAAAGAAAAAAAGATAAAATTGGAGAAAGAATAACAAAATGAATGAATGAGACAAGGAAAATGGAAAAGAAACTAAATGAAATGAAAGAGACAAAGAAAAATGGAATATGAAGCAGAGGAATTGACGAACGAATGAAACAAAGAAAACGGCAAAGGAAATGAATAAAGAAAGGAACAAAGAGGGTTTACGAAATAGGAAGAAAAACAAACAAGTATCGTGTGCAAATATTTCCTTCTTTTTTCTTTTTTCTTTTCTTCTTTCCTCTCCCTCCTCTTCTTCTTTCTTCTTTTTCATTTTCTTCCCAAATTTTATCTTATTTTTTTCATCTTCGTCTTCTTCTTTTTTTTCCTTTTTTATTGCATTTTTCACCTTATTGTAATGTGCGTCCATAACATATATATATATTATATATATATATATATATATATATATATATATATATATATATATATTTACGAATGTTTACATACGACCTAGAAGATAATACAAGAGGAAGAGGAAATTGAATTAATATGAGATATTACTATTTTATTAATTTATGCCTTTAGTCAAGGTAAACAGTGAGAAGGTATGTAAAAAATCATTAAATATGCGAATAATATTTTATTTTTAGATATTTGGTTAAAGATATATAAGAGAAAGGAGAGTTGAGAACTAAATTGAATGAAAAAATTGAAAATTATGTATCTTAAAAAAAAAAAAAAAAAAATTACCGTGGTTATCCCTTTCAAATCACCAGCAGTTTCTTTACTTTTTTCTTTCTTTCGTTTCCTTCTTTATACCCCTTCGTTTTATCTTCAATTTATCCATCCATCTCAAGTTATCTATAATCCAAGCACTTATTATTTATCGATTCATCTTTCTGAATCACCTATTTACTATTTCCTCGCTTCATGTATGTCTTTTCACATCCGACACACATTCGTCACACTGATGCCCATTTCGTGATGTAAAAATTACTGTAAGAATTATTTTGTAGCATTTCCTTCCTATTGTTTCTCCAAAGCGACACTTCCTTGTATTTGAAATCTTTTTGTTGTTGTTTTTTCTTCCTTTCTGTATATTTAGATGGACTAGTTATATATGTTGGTGGAGATAAATAGATAGATATAAATAGACGGATATAGATGTATAATATACATTCATAGAGCGTTATGCACAAAAATAATATTTGAATATCATCTTGGATTTTAATTAATCATGTTCATACCTTAATCGTTTATCATTATGATTAATACTGACAGACATATCATTGCAATTAGTATCGTCAAAAAATACTGTTGAGTAGGTGCCGTAAGGATCATAATTCCACTACCATAACAGCCAATATCTCTGTAGCAACAATAATGTACTCGAGAAAGTTACCTTGACACAAATGCCATTGTTTTCCTACTTTTCTGGACGTTGCTCCCTTAGTGCAAGAATTTTATAGATGATGGCAATGATTTCATATCATGATATGAAAACTTCTTTTAAAACCCATGAGGATAAATAAGTTGAATTAAAGACTAATAATAAACCACGTATTCCATTCTTAACACATGTCACAAATGATAAACATATGTAACTGTAAAATAAACCTAACATCACTACATCTTCACTTGGAAATACCAATCAATAATCACTAATAAAGGCTACCTTAATAATCATCAGTGATATGATATAACAAAATTCATTAATAACGTACTGTATTCATTCATAACACGAACATTATTAGTTAACATTCCGAACATTTCAAGGTGACCATTATTCGAAATATTCAACCTTTCTGTGTATTTTCGCGGGCAAATTTCTTCGTAGAATTCTTGCTCCAGGTTGCTATTGTTTACTTTTCACAGCTGTTATTTGTATTTCTTAGTAATTATTATGAATTTGATGGTAATAGTATTAGTAATAATAATGATAATGATAATGATAATGATAATAATGATAACACAATGATAATAATGATAACAACAATGATGATAATAACAAATAATAATAACAGTAATGAGAATATATCAATAATAATAATAGTAATAATAATAATGATATGATAACAACAACAATAATAATAATATTTATGATAATAATTTTGATAATAATATGATTGTAATAATGATGATAATGGTAATGTACAATGATGATTTGATGATTGATGATGATGATGATGATGATGATGATGATGATGATGATGATGATGATGATTGATGATGATGATGATGATGATGATGATGATGATGATGATGATGATGATGATGATGATGATGATGATGATGATGATAACAACAATAACAATGATAGCAATAGTAAAAATAATAATAATATCAAAAATAATAATAGTAATAATAATGATGATAATAATAATAAAAATAATAATAATGATGATAAAACAACAATAACAATGCCAATAAAAATAGCAATAAAAATAACGAATAACACAAAACTTATCTCCATTATATCTAACTGCTGTCACAAATTCTCGATCCTTGAAAATCAGTACAGACAATTGGACGTTTGTGAGTCATTAGAAATTGTGTGATCTACATAATTTGGTATCAAAATGTTTTAGTATTTTTGCATTGTTGCTTTGTTACGTATGTCATTTCCTCAGCTATAGATCTTTCTTTTTTTTTTCTAAATCTAACAGTGCCTCGATATCAGTTCATACATATTTGGGACAAATTGATTGTTTTTTCTTTCAGGTTCTAATAATGGCTTGATAACAGAAACTGCCTGTTTGAATTTCTTTTGATATCATTGTCAGTACTTCACAGGAATAGTTTTGTTCAGTTTCTAAAATGTCTTGATATCAGTTAACTCCTATTTGTGTGATGTTTAAGTATCATGAACCTTTATTTTATTCATTTATTGAAAATCTTCTACCGTACTGACATCTAAGGTCATTTGCATTGTATTCAAAATATAGCACAAGGGTGGGTGGGGGTAAAGCCTACGGGTAAGGAAAGGTGATACAACACTATGATAAAACACTGTGGCAAAAAAGGTACAAATGAAGCCAGCTTTTCGTCCTTTCCGCAGGGCTCTCACACATTAGGAAATGGACAAACGGGGATGAAGAAAAGAAAGCGGAAAGGGGGAAAAGAAAAGACCGTCCAAATTAGATGAGGCAAGGGGTGATCCTCAGTCTCTTGTCTCTTAAGCACCCCAATACAATAACAAGCATCGATTACTTGAAATCAAAGATTGATTACTTGAAATACCTTGCTTATTCATCAGTGCAAAGAATAAGAACTAAACATTATAGTTCTGTTTACTGAATTCTCTCTCCTACTAAATATATCATTATATTAAAATGATCTGATGTCTGATATCATTAGACAATATTGATTGTTGAACCAAGATATACACTCTTCACATTTACACATGTATTACACAGAAGGATTATGATATATAAAGGTTCAGGTTATCTGATAAACAAGGAAAAGGCATGAATAATTGATATCACATTTCCCAACTCTCTTTTCCCTTTTTCTATATACAGGAATATTGTTCATAAAATATTACCTTTTTTTCTTTTTTTACTCATGCTGCATGTTCAACCAGATTCCAAATTCAAGGTAAAGTAACAACACACTA